CTGCTGGACTACTGCCTGGCGCGGCGCACGCCGGTGGCCCTGGGCATCGCCGCGCTGCTGGTGCAGCGGAGCTGGCCCCACCTGCTGCGGTTCGAGCTGTGGTGCCAGCAGCCGGGTGCGGGGCCTCGCCTGAAGGAGGGCCTGGCGGACGTCCTGCCCCTGCTGCACAGCTACCTCCAGCGCCGGACCAGGGGCGCCCCACGCGCCCAGCAGCAGGTACGGGAGGCGGCGTGGAGTCGGGCGGCGGGTCCCCCTGTGAGCGCCGGACTCCGTGTGCTGGGGTGGTCAGCTCCCTTCCCCAGGTCTGACCGGCTCTGAGAGGGAGAAAGACGAGAAATGCTCCCTCAGCAGCCCCCCCGCCCCTGACCTTATGGCTGGAGGAGTCACCCCTACACAGCTCCCCTCAACCTTGAGCTACCACGTGAAGCAGGGCCACCAAGGAGGACCAGTGTCAGGCCACCCGTGGGACCTCGGCCCTCACGAGATTCCGTGAGCTCGTCCACGCGGCTCCACACACCCTCCCATGTGACCACCTCCCTGTGTCCGCCCCAGTGTCCTCTGCTGTCGTCCCGATCCTGAGGAAGGCCCTGTGGAGGCGGCTGCAGACCCGGCTCCTCGGTGCTGACGGGCCCTTGGAGGCTGGGCTGCATCCAGAGGTCCTGGCCCAGCTGGTCCCGTTCGCCAGAGCCAAGGACCTGGGTGTCCTCAAGGACCGTCTGCCCAGCTCGCTCCAGACTCCAGACGGTCACAAGAGGTGCGAAGGCTGGGGGTCTGGGGGCTGCTCCCTGGGCCGCGCCCGCTGGTGAGGCCCTCGGTGCTGTTGTGCCATCACCATTCCGGGGGAAGCCCTTTCCTGACGAACTTCCAGCCATCCTGCTGGCGGGCTCTGACCCCTCTGCACCGGGCTCTCCCCCCAGGGACAGGGGCAATGTCTGACGTGTTATTACAACAGGGGGCGGGGCAGCCAAAGGGTGGAATCCAAGGAGATCCCCCCCCCTTTCCCCCGCCCCCCCCCCCCCCCCCTCCGCAAGGAAGAAGGATCTGGTGGAAATGTCATTGTCGGGAGGTTAGACAACCTGACCTGGACGGCATCGGGGCAGGTGCCCTTCCTTTCTCTGGCTGCTCTGTGGTTCCCCAGCCGTGAGAGCGTTGGCCCTTACACAAAAATAAACTCAAAATGGATAAAGGACTTAAATATACGACGGAAAACCATAAAAATACTAGAAGAATCCAAAGGCAACAAAATCTCAGACATATGCCGAAGCAATTTCTTCACCGATACAGCTCCTAGGGCATTGGAAACTAAAGAGAAAATAAACAAATGGGACCACATCAAAATAAAAAGCTTCTGCACAGCAAAAGAAACCATCAACAAAACAACGAGGGCGCTGGCCCATCCTCGGGATCAGACGAGGGCAGGAGGCGGCTGTGGCCCTGTGCTTGGGTAGCACAGGGAGCGGCGCTCGGGGCGTGCGGCCCATTGTCACGCCGGGTTGTCCTTAAAGCTGGGCTGTAGGCCACCGCCTCTGACCCTGAGACCTGTCTTCTGCTGCAGCTGGATCGTGGCCGACGCCGTCTCTGGCCGCGCTGGAGGGGGCGGAAGCAGAACTGCGCGCCTGGAGAGAGAAGCTGCTGGAGTGCTGTGTGAAGTGGCTGGTCGGGTCCTTCGGCGGCCGGGAGCCAGGCCAGGACGGAGCCCGGGGCCAGGAGGAGCAGATGCTGCTGCGGCTCCGCCAGCTGCTGGTGGGTGTGCTGCCTTTGCTGAGGTCTGGGTGGTAGTCCAGGGACAGGGCGATCGGCCCAGGGGCACAGCGCACGCTCCCGGGGCCTGACCGGGACCCTGTCTGGGAGGCCGCGTGGCAGGTGGGCTTCAGCGGGCACGTTGCTGCATCTTCTGAGACTGTCTGGCTTTTCCTTCTTGCTTCGTCTGTCAGGAAAGTGACTCCTGTGGACCTTTGAAGATGAGACCAACCTTGGGTTCCGGGGCTGCGGGGCGTTACTTCTCCTCCCGCTTTAATTTTTAGAAGTTGTTGGATTTGATGTGCCAGTGTTTTATTAAGAACTTTTGCATCTGTGTGCGTGAGGGTAGTTTTAATTTGAACTTCATGCAGTGTCCTTGTGTGGATTTAGGATCAGGTGGCACTGCCCTCAGCGTGGGTTGAGAAGAGTCCCGATGGGTGTAAAACCCTAGGTTTTCCGTTTTCCTGAGCATTTTAAAGGTGCTGCTTTCCTGTCCTTGGCGTGCGTTGTTTCTGATGAGACAGTTGTTGTTCCTGTTTTTGTTCCTTGTAAAGTACACCCTTTTCTCTGGCTGCTTTTGGGGTTTTTTCTTTACAGCAGTCACAGCACCTGGAGCATGAGGTGCCTTAGTTAGTTTTCTTCGTTTCCTGTGCTTTGAGTTCAAGGAGCTTGTTGTCTCTGTGAGTTTGGAGTTTCTATAAAATTCGGAAATATTCAGCTATTTCGGGCCATTATCTCCTTCTATTGAAGAGTGGGGTTTTTTAATGTTACGTTTTTACATGGAGGTGATTAGCGTTCTGAAAGCTGACATAGGAGTGAGTTCTCAGGGCACAGTGAACATCCCTTTAAAAGTTATAGACGCTTACGTGTGTGTATAGACATGGAGGTTAGGTGAGTGGTCGTACGCTCGGAGGTCAGAGACCGAGCAGTGTGTCTGCGTCCTGGGCCTGGGCCCTCACAGCCTGCATTCCAGCCTGGACCCGTGTGTGATGGGCTGTGGGTGTCAGGCTGGCTCCCAGGCCCCCGATGGCAGAACCAGGGACGAGGAGGAGCGGGCGGGGCCACGGCCACCACCACCATGGGCATCCCTGTGCGGCCATCACCCGCCCAGCAGGCTGGCTCGGTGCCTGAGTGACAGGCTCTGCTCTCAGGGGTTTGAGTCCTCGAGGCCTGCTTCCTCCCCACCCCCTCCGCCCCCCCGTTTTACTGTCTCTCTCTCTTTTCCTTTCTAATAGACCTTTTTATTTCCCAGAGCAGTTTTAGATTCACAGTAAAACTGAGTGAAAAGTGCAGAGGTCCCCATACACCCCCTGCCCCCCGAGCACACACAGCCTCCCCCACCATCAGCACCCACGCCAGCCCTTTTCTTGTCATTGGAATACATTTTCTTTATTTGATATTGATTTTGGAGAGAGACAGACAACGTTGGTTTGTTGTCCCGCTCGTGTGTGCACTCATGGGTTGGTTCTCGTGTGCCCTGACGGGGACCCAGCACGCGGCCTTGGCGTTGGGGCGGTGCTCTAACCATCGGCGCTCCCCGAGGGGCCTGGAGTGTATTCTCAGGTCGTGAGGTGTAAGCTCTAAGGTGCACAGTTCGTGTTGACAGATACACGTCCCTGGTGCCCACACTCGCGCCACGATTTCCGTCCTCCCAGAAAGTCCCGGTGTCCTAGCCGGTCCCTCCCTGCAGAGCAGCCACTCCTCTGACGTCACGGGAGAGCACCCGGGAGATTTTCTCCACGTTGGTGGCTGGGACCCGCCCTGGCCCTGCGGGTGGAGGCGTGGAGCTCCCGGGTGGATGTTGTCACGTGTGTAAGCAGCCGGGGTGGGGCCGTGTGCAGTGAATCCAGTGCTGGCTGGAGCGGCAGAGGGACAGCAGCCGCACCGTGGGGGGCGTTCCCTTTGCTCCTGGGTGAGCCTGGGGTGCGGTACAGGGTCCCTCCTCATGTGAAACAGCCTCACAAACCCCGTGCGACAAGGAGCATGTTGTGGGCCTGTTTAGGGAGCAGCTCAAGTTTAAGTTCCATGTCTGGTTCCCCCGGGTGTTTCCTGTCTGTTCCTCGCTGTCTTCACAGAGCTCAGCTGATGAAGTGGGGCCTGGGGATTGGCAGCAGTTTGTGAAGACGGGACTCAAGTAAGTCGATGGCTTTTTTCTCCTCTCCATCCTCACCCGCGGGCGTTTTTGTTGGTTTTGGAGCGCGGGGGGAAGGGACAGGGAGAGAGGAACGTCGACGTGAGAGGGAAACATCAGTCGGTTGCTTTCCTGACGGGCAGCCGGACCTCTGGCCCTTCTGCGCTTGTGACGATGCTCCGACCGCTGAGCCGCACTGGCGGGTGGTGTGTGTCCTGGGGCGAATGTCTGGTGACGCAGGGCAGCTGCTGGTCCCGTCTCAGGGACACGGTGTGTAGCGCAAGGTTGCAGGCCGCCCGCGGCGCCGCGTGCTGTGAGAATGGCGAGAGGCAGCCTCTGGGCCGGGAAATGCTGTTAGAGAAGCAGGAGCGTGGAGACCGCTGGCCGCGGCCTGTGTTGTCCTGCTGTCCTCCCGCCCTTGCCCGCCGTGTCCCGCTGAGGTGGAGCCTGCCGTGGCCACACGTGTGTTCGTACCGGTCACGTCACTGTGTCCCTGAACAACAGTGCCCGTGTGGGTCCCTGCTGTTACCTCAATGTCCCCGTTACCCGTGTGGACCCGGGGCCTCACGTCTCGGCTGCACCAGTTACTGTTGGAGGTGGACAGCGTCTCCCGCCCTCCCCGCTGTGGCTGCTGCCTCGGGGCCCACGCGCCAGGTTTCCTCGGGGAGGCGCGCACCGGCGGCCGGTGTGGGCACCGCTGCAGCCCGGGCCCAGGGCTGGGCCGACGGAGCGGGGGTGGGGAGCTCCTCCCTCCCCGCACCCCACGTCCTCGCTGACGTCCTCCCTGACGTGATCGAGCGGACTCTGATCCTGGCGACCCGGCGCCCGGAGCCGTGCCATGGGCTGCGGCCCTCGCTCCCGGCTGTTCCCCTTGACACAGACGCTTTCCCACGAGCAGAGGAGCGAGTGGCGGGTCACAGGCTGGAGGCCGCGAGCTCCAGCACGCGTGGCGGCGTCTGTCCGCCTGTGGTGGGATGTTTCTAGAACGCCCACTGCATGTCACGTGGCTTAGTGTTCACCTGTGACCGGAACCTCCTGTCCTGGAGCAGGAGGCCCTCGGGGGATTGAGAGGCTTCATAAAAGGCCCGGAGACGTGTTTTCTGTTTCCTGGGAAGTGAAGTTCCCTTAGGAAGCTCTTTCCCCTCCGATGCTGCCTCCCAGGCACCGGTATCAGGACCCCGCGTTCCTGAGGGCGCTCCACGCCGCCGTGCAGCTCCTGTACCGGCCCGACAGCCCCGTGCGCGCGAGCCTGGTCCCGCTCCCCGTGGTCCACATGATGCTGGCCCAGCACTCCCTGTTCCTGCCCACCCTGCTGGCGTCCGGGAGGAGGGAGCCCCCGACGGCCAGGTGAAAGGTGAGAGACCGCCCCCCCCCCCC